GGTCGGTCGGTGTCTGTGAGGACAGCCTGCAGGCCCCCATCGCCCCGGGTAACGGCCGAGGGTGCTTCAGGGCCCACCACAGCAGCTCCCGGGCATCCAGCGACCTCTCCGACAGCCTGGAGTCCTCCAGTGTCCAGCACGACAGCCTCCAGTCAGTGTCCAGCCTGCGGGAGAGCTTCAGGTCCTCCAGCATCAACGGTGATAGCCTTGAGTCCCTTTCCAGCCTGAGCAACAGCTCCGCCAGCCAGCACAGCGGCCTCGAGTTTGCCAGCCAGTGAGACTGCCTTCATCTCCCCAAACAGTGCAGTAGCCTCTGGAGCCTCTGGTTCACTTCCAGCTACTGCGAGAGCTTCCAGGTTCCTGCTCATTGTTCAGAAGGCTGTGTTGTTCCAGCTGATTCTTGATGCATCAACAGCAATAACCACAAATACTTACTGACTGTAGCTCCCATTTCCAGTTACATGCTTCAGAGAGGCAGTACTCATTATTACTTGTAGTGTTAACGCTGATTTTTTGTCATCAGTTAAGAATGGAGGTGCGTGGTCCTCGGAGGAATCGCAGCTACTTTTCTAATCTCTATGAGAACATGCTACAAGCCAATGAAGCACCAGGAAGAGGGCAGCAGCAGCCCCCAGCAGTCCATACAAATAGCAACATGACTCTTGGGAGCAGTACCCCAGCCAAGGGGGGGCCCCAGCCAAATAAGCTTCAGAGCAACACTTCCTCCAGCTGTGACCCAGCGTTACGGCCTATCATACGTCGCCGAGCAAGATCTTTGCCTACATTGCCTGAAAGAAGGAAGCGGGCAGCAGTGCAGTGTCAAGTTCCTGGATGCCAGAGTCGTATGAACCGGGTGAGGTTTGCTGATGCTTTGGGCTTGGAGCTCACTGAAGTGAAAGTCTTCCAGACTGGGGAGGATCCATCGATCCCCTTGCATGTCCTTTCCAGGCTCTCCATAAACTCAGACCTCTGGTACAGCAGCTTGGACTTGGAGTTTACCATGCAGTGCTTGGTCCCTGATTTCCAGCAGCCTGCAGACTGTCCAGATTTCTCCTCCCGACTTCAGGAGCAACAGGTGTGTCTGGAACGAGTGACCAGCTCGGATTTGGGACTCAGTGGCACCATCCAGGTTCGCAATGTTGCTTTTGAGAAGCGGGTGTCTGTGCGATACACCTTCAACCAGTGGAAAAGCCTCCATGAAGTGTGTGCTCATTGGCACAGTAGCATCCCTGAGAAAAACGGGCAGGATCAAGTTGATGTTTTCACTTTCTTTCTCCCTGTGCCTCCTTTCCTCCTTCAGCTGTGCTCTGTAGTCCAGTTTGCAGCAAGGTACCAAGTCAATGGCCAGGAGTACTGGGATAACAACAGAGGCAAAAACTACAGCCTTACCTGCCGGACTCACCCCCTTAAGATGCCGAGAGAATGTGAGGATAGCTGGATCCACTTCATCTGAGCAAAGGAAGTGGATGCAGAACAGCTTGTCAGTAGTCTGGGTGGCACTTCCCTGGCCTGGCTCTCTGCTCCTATGGCAACAGTCTCGTTTTGAAACCTGCCAAACCTGGCAGAGTGTTCCAGGACAGGGAAGTAGCCAATGACCCGTACAAACTGTTCTAAACCTCTCAGAAAGTAAAAAGGGCCAAAATGTGTATTGAGTTACATCCTCTGAAAGCCCACATGATTTCTTGTATGGATCGGTGCAGAATGGTTCCAGGGGATGCTGTCAGGCTACCAGAGAGCAAAACAAGACCCTTCATGTTGCTAGTAATATTCTAGGTTGCGTAGAATATTTCTAACTGCTCTATTTTACCATTTTATACTGTCTGTTTTCTAAATGGGCAGTGTGGCTTTACTGGTTTTGTTTCTAATTTTGTTTATATTATCTCACTAAGTCTGGGCACTATTCCATTTATGCATAATTTGGATGGCAGACACTGTGGGGAAGTACTTGTATTTTTGTATATGTATTATTAAGACCATAACCATGTTAAATATTTCCACTAATACTTGGGTTGTAAATTACATGTTATTACAAGCAAAAAATACATGAAAATGTGTTAGCAGCCCCTCTGTTTCCCTTAAGAAAAGGTACCTTTTTTTTTTAATCTCAAGTGTTTGTAGGCAGCAGGAAAATACCAAAGTTTCTGTAAGGCAGATCTTGTGAAGTTCTCATCTTTTTCAAGTGATGCACAAGTAGGCTTTTTCTCTAGGTGGTGGTACAGGAATTATCCCTTCCTTGGGCACCTGTTCTTACTAAGGGAAACCAGAGCAATTTTGCACTTTTGTTGCAATTACAGTTCAAGATGTCAAAGCACTATATGAACTTGAACTCCGAGACTGCATCCTTTGCAACACAAAGTGGGAACTTCAAAGCAAAATGATGATTTTCCTGGTAAACTGATACTTACATAGATCCATGAACAGCAGGAGAGCACAGTAACACTGTTACATGCAGTCTTCCCATGCTTCTTGCTCTGCCACTTCCATTCTGTGCATTTAGTGGGGTTTAAGATTGGCAACAGGCTTAAATCTAGTAAGTAAAGGTTTGTCCATTATTTTCTTCATAGCTTCATATGTGTAACATAAATTTTCAAAACTGGCTAGCTGGATATACTAGAACAGCTCCTTTTTAGGTCTGTGCTATGAAAATCAGGCCACTTATTCAGGCATCTTATTTTGGATTGCTGCTTAGTCATCAAAATCACAAGTTGTTTTTAAAATCACCATTGTAAGCAACCCATGGCCAAGTGTATATTAGTCCAAAAAGTCTACTGAGAATTCTGGACGTGCGGGAATCCCAAGAAAATTAATGTGTCTGGCAACTTAATGTTACTACTTAGTTGTGATACCCATTTATCAAAGCCAGGATTTCAAGTTAAGAAGCTGCCTGGTTCCATTAATCTTTGGCTTTCAAAGCAACCGAAGTAATGAATGATGATTCTATGAGCTGCCAAGCACCTCTTGCAGAGTACTGAGAAAACTCAATCCTGTTTGAAACTGATGAGCATTGACTGTTAACTTTGTATTGGAGCACCGTGAGGTTGAACATTTAAGTTGAAACTGTTTTGAAGGACTAGGTGAGGCTGAGGTGTGATTGCTAACTACAGAGAGGAAAGAATGCTGCCTGCTTTCCAGCCACATGTGTTATTTTCTGTATCTGGGTTAGAGAAGTGACCATTACCAATCTGGCAGATCCTAGAAAAATCAAGGCAGGGAACTGAAAGCCCAGTCTTCCTCATCTGGCACAAAAAATGAGATCTTTGTAAGAAGGGGTGCTATCTAATTGTAATGTGTTTTGCCTCCTATGGTGGGCTTCATATGACTAAATGATATATGACAATATAGGACATAACATACCTGAACTGTACTCTTCATAGTCAATGGAGATGTTTTTGCTATGGTTAGCAGGCTACCTGTGGTGTGACAAACTGTCATTGCAGGGCTTGTTCTGCCATACTGAAATTCTCAGCATTAGTGCGGATTGTGCCAAATTATGCCAGAGTCTGTAGATGTCAAGTTGGCTGAGCTGAAACACACCTTCAGTGACTGCAGAAGAATCTGTATTTGTCAGCAAAGAAGAAAACAAACACACAGAGACGCAGAAGCACTTGTGCTGAACAGAGGGCGCTGTTTTAAAGTACTGTTCCCCCCACTCTCCCCCTCCCAAATTACTTTATTTCTTCCATCAGCAAAACCACTGAATTGCCTCTTAGCACACCATGAAAAATCCCTCTCTTATGAGTCTGGTATTTGACACCAGTTTACAATGGACGTTGCTGGAGCCCAGTGCAGTACTTGGCTCACTTACTTGGCTGTCTTCTGGGGGAGACTCTTTCATGTGCTAGCAAATGTCAAATCTGAGTGCTATTGCAGGCAGGGACAGATTATGTAAAGCTGAGGCTGTCAGTTTAAAGGTTAATGTCACGTATGCCACAGTGTCAGAGAAGTGAAGAATGAATGTCTCAGCAATGAGTTTGGATTGTATTGTCTTCTTTCTGCAACCTCTCAGGGTATTTGCAATGTGCAAAATCTTGAGCACTAAAGTATTACTCCAAGTTTGCCTTTTCTCTCTTTGCTTGTCGTGCACTGCTGGAGAAGAACGGGCAGGAGCTGTTACTAAACCAGTTGTCTGGCGTTGCCAACTGTGAGTTGAGCAGGGCTACCTTATAGCAGAACTGAGAGTATCTCCAGATTAAGCTGTTAAACATTTACACGACTACTGGCACCTGTCACATGAAATAAGAAATTTGCACTTATGTTTTCCTGTCACATTCAGAAGTGAACACCAAAAGGATTCTAGTTGACAAAAAAGGGATTAAGCCATTAAGTAGCGGTAATACACACCCGTCGTGAAGGTAAACTTATGAACACATTTATAAATTCTCAGGACAACTTGGCCGCTTGCACTGTGTTCAAATCGAGCACCTCTCTTATAATGAGGGTTTTGTAAAAGTGAATTCTTCACAAGGGTTATTGCCATATAATGCACTTTTAAAAACCTGTGTTTATTGTAGTTATATAATCAATGAATGTCTAGTAGTCCACAGTTGCAAGGTTGTTTCAAGCATGTTTTTTAAAGAAACATATAGAATCCATGTAAGTGGAAAGGGCTTGTCTTCCTGATTAAATGTCTTGTCCAGAATAAAGTACATTACACAGTATATCAATGAAGCACATATGCTATACAAAAGGTAATTTTCTTTTAGTAGAGAGGTATACAGTTGCAAAGTGCTTAATTCACTTTAAAAACAATATAAAACTATGGCTACTGTAATACAAAAGGTTTTAATAAAAGCTTTTCACTATTTTATGTTGTTTCTGTCAATGGTACTCCTGTCAACAGTTCAGAAAACTTACAAGGCAACTTAGTGTTGAGTTGTCACAGAGCAACATACTCAGGAAAGAAAGGTGGGTTCGAGTCACTAAAAAATGAACAGCACTTGATAAAAATACAGTGATTAGTCTCTATAGCTGCAAAAATGACCGGGCTGACACTTCTTACATGGAATTTGCTGACATTGCACCTTAGAGCTCTGTGCAATGCAGCACCTGCAGGATTAAGATCTAATGCTGGAAAAAGGCACATTGCCACTTGATTCTAATACGGTTTCATGGAAAAGAAGAGAAATTGCTTTCTAAGAGCAATTGCCAAAGCTGTGCTAGACTGTACTTAACTCATCAATTTCAGAGCCTCACAGCAATGTTATTTGTTATTCTATTTGTTCTTTCGGTTTTCTTTCCTGCAGTCTTTCCTCTCAAACTATGTTCTTTTCACTGACCGGTTTCTTGAAAATATATCTACACAGGGTATGTAAGAGAGTGTCCATCTCTACAGCAACTGATTTATCCTCTGTATGAAATGTGTCTCCATCAGTGTCAGGCATTTACTTCATACAGTTCAAGATTTAATCTGTTGCCAGGTTTCTTCCAGTGCAAAATAGAGATGTTTAACTAGAAGACATAAGTAATAAAGACATCTATTACCCTTTTTTAATCAGTGTTAATAACTTCAGCACTGCATTGTGAAAGTTGCTTGGGGGAAGGATGATTATTGCAAATCACAGTTTAAATACATGGGAATGGATATCTTATGGTAAGTTGCTTAAGAACATCCATGTCACTTTTTATTACAAAGTATACAGATCATGTGTTATGTGCATGTAGATGCATTAAGGAGGGTACTTTTAGAAAACATGGTATTATAATGTCTTTATGACTAATTTTTCCATTTTCCTATACTACTGATCTGAATCAGAACTAGCAGTAACACCTCAGTTGTCATAACTTTACCCACCAAAATAGAGCATTAAGCATCACCTGGAAATGAATATGGCAAACACAGTGTAGACTAACCAGGAGACCAGCAAAGGATAAAGATAGTGGTCTTTGATTTTATCAAATCACTTGAAAAGAATGTGAATTTGTTTTAGCCGGGTGGTGGGGTGGGGGGTGTGTGGGGATGTGTGTAGAAGTATTTAAGAGAGGACTGGCTGTTGCTGTGAACATCCAGCCATCACATTTCTCTTATGGGTAGGTAGTGTTATTTCTATTACAGGTGTTATTTTTACATTTAGTTTCCATTTTACAGTTTCTAAAATTTCTCTTGCAAAGAAAACAAAGTAAATTCCAACTTGTAGTAATAAGCTAATAGTCAACTGTAACTACAGTGCTTAATTTAGTGTATGGTCAGTGCTCAGTACAATGTTATATGTACTTCACAGCATTGCCTGGGAAAGACACAGAATGGCAAGTCTAAATGATTCGTCATTTGTCAACACGGGTCTAATGTTAGTACTGACTTCTTTCCTGATTTGGCTTTCTCCTTATGATCTCAGATCTGCAACTATTTCAGCTGACACTTGATATTAAAACTGTTGGCATTAATGCTTCTGACCCTTCTCAGTTCTACATACAAGGCAGCTGTGCCAAAGATTGATTATGTTGACTGGTACAATGTTTTCCAGTACCTGCAGTGAAGGTAAACATTTCTGCTACTGTAGTGTAGAAAGGGTCCCTGTACACCTTACAGACAGTTTTGCTCCATTTTCTCTGAAATTTTTAAGTGTAGTTGCCATGTCTGTGGCCCAAATAATTTCACTGCTTGTTCCAGAGTGTTCAATGCATTAATTGATGAAAATTCTGCTTTCTGCTGACCTCCCTTCTGCCAAACCAAACAAAACAGACATTAG